GAACGAATTTGTTGAACAATGATGTCACCAATCTTCTGAAGATCATGAGTATAGAAGAATTTAGGAAATATATGTTTTGTTCTATTGCCTTTGATGTATCCTTCTTTCAATTGATCAATGCACGTAGTATAGTCTTCAGACAAGATAGTAGGAGCATTCTTGTTCAAATGCAATCCACATGATCCTCGAATGTGATGAACAATGGATCTTAACCAGACACATTCTCGACTTACTTCATGAATTGCTAAAATCTCAGCATAATTGGAAGAAGTGGTAGTTAGTGTTTGTTTCATAGAATGCCATGAAATAGCTGTTCATCGACATGTAAAAATATAGCCTGTTTGTGACTGACCATTATGAGGATCGGATATATATCCAGCATCAGCGTAACCGATCAAATCCAACTTAAATGCCTTTGAATAAGAAAGACCCATATCAATTGCACCTTGAAGATACCGAAATATTTGTTTAATACTATTCTAATGCCCTCGCGTAGGTGCAGAACTATATCGTGCTAGTGAGATACATGTATGCCTAGTGAGATACATTAATGCTCCAGTAGCATATATATATGGTATTTCTAGACCAAGTAGTTCTTCATTTTGTCCATGAGGCCGGAAAATGTCTTTAATCTTATCAAGGGATCTTACCACCGTAGGTGTGCTCAAAGGATATGATTTATCCATATAAAAACATTTAAGCACTTTTTTCTCCATATGTGGTCTGATGTGAAAAAAAAATACCACTTTCTAAATGCTCAATTTGTAAACCTCAAACAATGTTTTGTCTTTCTGAGATCTTTCATTTCAAATTCTTGTTTTAGACAATTTGCAGTTTTTCTGACCTCTTCAGGGTTCCGATAATATTTTAAGTCATCAACATAAACTGTAATAATTGCAAATTCTTATTCAAATCTTTCAATGAAAACACTAGATTTTTCTTTGTCACGCGTTGCACGACCAGTTTATAATAGATAAATTTCAATATTCTTCTATTTATACCGTAATGTTACATGTTCTTTCATTTCCATCTTGTCTAGTACTTAGATTAATTGTCATTTCCATCTTGTCTAGTACTATTTAGATTAATTGTTAACTAACCAGTAATATTATTTTATTATTTTTAGTTTTTTTCTCTACGGTATAAGTAATTCATAATTGTATTAATTAGTGTTTACAATCACAATATCTCTTGACAATAAACTCAAATTATAACATGAATAGGAAAGGGGAAATCGCCTACCTACTATAATAAATAATAAACAGTACAACACTACGTGTCTTCCATTATAATCAAGAAGGAAAAAAAAAGCATATCCATGTATTTCCAAGCAAAATCTACTTAATAACTTTTGTTACTCTTTGTCTTTTTTATGAATATCGTATTATCATTGTTGATTCCCTTTCCCTAATTTCTTTTTTCTAAAACAAAGTTGGAAGGTGGTAGAATTTTGGTTTCCGCAAGCCATAGGACATACGCAAATCCCATAATTTTTTATTTTTATTTTTTTTGAAAAAACCATAATATTTTGTCACTTATTTAAGTTTCCGCAAACCCGTAAGACTATATATATGTAGAGAAGCGAAGTTTAGCCAGGTGTGTTCTTCTGTCCTTCGATGATTCATTATACAGATGATATTTTGCATAGAAAATGTGTGTATATGGACAAGTTGCTGACCGAGGTTTTGCATTTTGTTTATTACGCAATACCTCGAGCTTGAACAAATAACCACAAAGGTAGAGTAGAAATCTTAAAACTGATTATTTACCGTATACTTGAAATTAGGATATGGAGAAAGAGATCTGTTACCCTCTCTTTTGCCACTTGTTAGTGTTTCAACATTCAAAACACGTGTATTTGATTAATCCGACTTATAAACGGCACCCCAAACGAACAAGAGGCAAAAACAATGAAACCCCAACAGGCAAGCCCCGTTTACAGTACTTTCAAAACCAGAACTCAAGAAACAGAAACGGAGAAGCATTTGAAGACTGTGTCCGATTTACTTGTGCACAAAATTGTTATCCAATCCAACTGTCAAAGTAAAACTCGACCAAAACAAGATTGCAATCATAGCTGTAGATCAATAGCTTAATGCAGAGGTCTTTCGTGATAACAGATGACCTCTTGAAAATTTACACGTAAAAATCACAATAGATATTTTATACAGAAAAGAAACACAAGATTTTAAAGAATGAACCTTTTTTTGGAAGATTTCAATCAAGATATGCAACAGTTAAGCTTAAGTCAGCTGAAGACATGAGTCAAAGAGACGTACACAACTTCGGTATCCAGAAAAAAAAAAGATCCTGCAAACCACATCTTGATTCTTCAGTCTCCAAATGCCTCCAATATCTTTTGTCATCGAATCCTACAATAGCCAACCCACAGGCACCAGAGGCAACTGAAAACAAAATTTCCATCTACCTTTATCCAACCAGAGGAAGGTTCATCTTTCTCTCCTCAAAGACATAAGCTTTGGCTGTGCAGTCTGATTTGGCAGCTATTACAGAATGCGCAGAAGGTTGCCCAAGCAGAACAAGTGTAAATAACTAACTGGCCCACTTCTCTGCTAACAAGCAAAGAAGTTTCCAATAGGTTCAGCTCAAAGCAAGAGCAAACAGTAGAAAAATAACATAGAAATAGCAATTGGCACAACAGTGATATTTAGGAATACCCCCTGAAAAAGAAGAGAAGTTAGGTAGTCCCCTTGTTCCTGTTAAAATACTGGACAGTAATTGCCAGCAAGAAACTAAAGTTTTCATGCATGCCATGCTTTTTATTTCAATAAATAAGTGGCATCTCAAAATACAACGATGTGCTATCAGGTTTGCTGTATTCCAACCTCATGCAATATATACGACAGGCGACAACTTTAATGTGCTACAATGGTGTTGGAGTCCATTTCTACATATCATTAATTTTGTTCCCGTAAATTGTCCAACTTCATGAAATCTACAGCCAAAATTTGCTAGAACAGTTTTGTTCTGCATTTTATCCACACAAATTAGCCCGTCTAGCAAGGGTATACAAAGTTGGGATTACCATACCCCTTTCTGGCTAGATGAGTTCATTTAAGGCGAATTGTACTAGTTCAATGTAAATGCATTGAATTTATCTTACATATTAGAAATGAACGTGGATTTTGACCATAAGAAAAAAAAAAAAAAAAGAGAAATTCTTCAAGGACACCTCTAGTTGACTCAACACTTCAGTGGCAGCAAACCAAAAGAATGTCAATCATTGAAAACTACATCTATAGTTCATAAACACATGATATCTCCTTAAAGTACGTTTCGGAAGAATATATTGCATGAATGAAAATGTATCTTTTCCCTAATACTCTTAACCATTGAGCAATTGCACCAAAATCAGCCAGACATACAGAAACTTCGATAATACAACAAAAATTTTAAAAACACAAGGACGACATCAGAGAACATATAAATGTTGCAGCTTACATGTTTAAGTTCAAAAGAAATTGTAGAGCTCACTTGAATTGAATTGTTCACTTGGATGTTGAACTTTTGCCACGACCTTTGCTCATCAAGGACACTCCGTAACAGCTCTCTTAGGCACCAGCTTTCCTAAAGCAAAAGCATAGCTATTTCATCAACAATGCTCTTAGTACACGAATCAACTATGCCAGGCATTACTGCAAATACTTGAATGTATTCTTTGGTAAATATCAGATGTAAAAAATAAAGCAACAAGCAATTTTAATCCAATGCAAACATTGTCGATCATGAAAACATTAAGGGGTTTGTGTTGTATCCAGAAGAAAATGTTCAACTACGACCATTGGCATCTCTCGCATAAGAACTACTCCTGAAGCCTGCAAATTTAAGCTAATTAGATTGGAGAAAGTCAATGTTAGTAGCACTTTTCCTTTGTCTTGCGTTAAAATGTGCATCCTAACTACTAAAGAAAGTTTGCACTTTTTAATAGTTTCAAATTGATAAACAGCAGGATCTATCGTGCTTCTATGATTCATCCTCCACAAATCTGTATTCCAATTCATAATGGAAATCGGGAATTTTCAATTTCTGTACAAGTAGGAAACTCATCCGAAAACATCGACCATCATGGACTCCAAATCTATAACCTTCGTCGACGACCACCTCCGCCACCAATTCAACCACCTCCAACCGCCAAAGACTCTACGCAGATTCCACCATGACAAATCTTCGCCGTGACCCCCTCCTACTCCATTGTCTTGTTGTTGTCTCTTTCCTTCTAGGCGGGTTACTGCACGAGGATGACTCACCGCCGACATTTATTACTACTTCCAGAGGCTACATCGACGACAGATTTCGGTTGCATAGGAAAATTTGAGGACAATACCGCTCGAACTAGCATAAAACTTGCAGGGAAGAGAAGGCGACTGTAATTGACGAGTCAGAGCGATTGGGAAGGAGAAAGGATTTTAGGGGTTTAATGCAGGGTGCAAAAATGATGAACTCAAACACCGTGAATAAACGCATTAGATAAAACGCCAAACGCAGAAAAGATTATCAAAACTACGTCGTTTTTAAGTTCAAGTTTTGAATATTGTTTAGGGTTTTAATGCTGGGAGCAAAAATGATGAATTCCCGTGAATAAAACGCATCAGATAAAACGCCAAACGCAGAAAGATGATCAAAACTACGTCGTTTTTAAGTTCAAGTATCGAATATTGTTTGACGCTTTTTTTCCACTTTATTCGGAAAAAAATATTTAAAAAATCGTGTATTTAGGTAATGACGATTATAACCTTTTTAAAATTGCTGATGTCATCAGTTGTTATCAACCAATCAAAATATTGGTTTATCATTGGAATATATTTTAAGTGGTTCTTTTATAAGAACTAGTCCGGGGCAGTCGTGCGTTAACGGCATACAAAACTATAATACTCCTCTATCTGAAATAATTCCTATAGAAAAGAACAAATTTTAACAGCGTACAAAACAGCGAAATTCTCTAAGTTTCAGTTCCAAGTGAAACTTATCAGTTCTGTGCTTCAAAGTTTTGCCCCCGTGACAAAAAGCATCTTCCCGCTGAAAAGTCTTCTCAAACCCGTTGAATCAAAGGTTTCTAATCTTTGAGGCCTTAGCTGTTGCTTGTGCATGGCGCAAGCATTCTCATCTGTGCCTCCGACATCATTGAATGTCCTGTTTGAGAAATCATCAGCCTCTTGCCCTTCTGAGTCCCACGTGGTGTCAACTTGCAATACGCTGGGTGGATCATGTGAAGTCAGCTTATGACTTCTTGAAGTGGCATTGCTGTATATCTTCCTCGACGCATCTTGTTTTTGCTTTCTTGCCCACAAAAAATTACTTGATGTTGGCATGTCGATAGGAACTGAGCGAATACTTTCATCGTTAGATTCTTCCTCATTTGAGAAGCCTCCGACACTGTATCAGAAGGTTTCAGTGACATCCGAGATACAGTTGCTCCTTTCCCTGTCAGAATAGTGTTACCACCAGAATTGCTTCTTCGAGCAACTTGAATACTGGCCTCAAGCATGAATGCAACAGTGTAGATGGATAAAGACCTCTGTTGGAACAACTTTGAAGAAAATATTTGGTTCTTGAACACTTCTTCGGCTTCTTCTTTGATTTCTTGTTGCTCCAGAAGCTCGCTCTGTGCTTCCAACTTTTTTCCTATAAAACCAGTCACATAAGTTCAATAAATGGATTCTTACATCCAAAAAAAAAGAGAACAAGAAAACTACAATGTCGAAAATTTAGCTACTTTGTTTTTGGAGTTTATCAACCACACTTGCCACAGATTTATGACTTGGATTAATGAGGTAAAAAAGAGAATGAGAGGCTTCACCTTTTGGCTTCCTCGCGGAATTTTGCATCTATCTCTTTATTTGGTGGGTACTATGGCATGCTTGAAGGATCACATGCATAAGGCTTGGTATGGAAATACTGAACAAATGAACACTCATTAGTTGGTTAAAAGTACAAAGATAAAACACATCTGCATGAAGGATTTAGGAATTAAACAAAACTGGATAAGAATTTCAAAGGCATACATATAAAAACTTGATCGGCAACTGATTGGAAGGCTACTTTCCCTAATAAATGAAAAAGTTTCATAGCAGACTTCGGGAATTCTTTACATCTTTCTCGGAGTGTACTTTCATAAGGTTGCTGAGGCTTGAACATGGTGGCAAGTGGAAGTCTGGACTGTTTCCAGTATTCATCGGGTGGAGAGCCGCAAAGCTTGAAGATTTTATGCAATTGTTCAACCTGCAGATCCAAGTGAGAGCTTCTGTTTTCAGAAATGAACAGAGGAAAAAGGAACATTTTGAGAATACCAATTGATACTGTAATATCTAATATTAACAACGGTAGTTTGAATGTTTGGTTTATATAAATAGCAGTGTGCTGATTTCAATAAAAAAAAGAAGAACCATTTAAATATCAGTGACCATTCCATTAGCACGTATGAATATCATGGCTTATATCAATTCCCTTATAAACAACCTCTCACTCCAAGTAAATAGATAAGAGAACTGTGAACAAAGAAATTCAAAAGGCATAAGGGGCAATGGTATCTTACCCTTATATGATAAAATCAAGTCATTTTCTTCCACTGGACTTGAAATAACTTGAGTAGACGGAAGTGAAGAGACACAATTCTAACATCAATCTCCACAGCTGTCTTGAAATGCTCCAAATCAAATACATCAGAAAATTTTCTGTAACAGCAAAATAAAAATTATTTGATAACTTTAAACCATCATAACAGAACTGTGTAATCTATATTTCAGCTAAAAGAAATGGATTGAAAATCCCTATGTTCATCAGCAGGGGACTAATCTAAATGGAGAATTGTATTCTACAAAATTCAGTGCCTTTACAGGAATTTTAGAAGCTTGCAGTTTTACAAAACAAAAAATTTATTGGAAAAGGCCAATGCAATGAAAAACTAAATTAAGTATCTCACAAACTACTTCTAGTCCAGAGACGGCACTTTCTCACGGAGTACATATATGTGTGCACAATTAAATCAAAGAAAACAAAAAATATATAAGATGTAATAGCAGAAAACTAATCATCAAAGAACATGATGATGCCAGTAACCAGGATCACCCACTTCAAACCTGCATCATTATAAACTTTCAAACTGCCTATAATGATGATGATGATGATGATTTTTATGTGGACAGGCCTAGAAGAAACAGAGAATTCTTTTAATCCACTTCAAACTGGAAAAATCAAATTAAGTGCATACATATTGCAAATTAAGTCATGAGACAACTGCACAACATAATTAAGACTTTGAGAGTGACAACAAATTCATAATAAACAAACATAAATATTTACCTTTTGTTTCTCTAAAGGATGAACACATGTTCTCTCCTTCCAGGTGCTCTTTCAAAGTTTAATTGGCCAATTTCCAACAGACTTGCCTGAATGAAATTGATCCCAAATTAGTCAAGAAAAGCTGATTATTCACCCAAAACAGACAATAAGTTAGTGTGTAGAAGGTGAAAAGTACAAATGATATGCTTGGACTATCAAATAAGTTAGTATTGGACATGTTGGTAGTTTCAAAACCATCTACCAGCCTCCAGGAAAGTTAAAAACCAAAGATTAACATTAAGAACTTGACAAATAAATAGGGAGACCAAAAACTCACCATTCATCTCCTTCAGTGCTCCAGTAAGGTCCGATGGATTGGCAAACCTTACGAATCTGTATCTCTTTGCTTTGCCAGTCCGCTTGTCTTTTACACCCTAAACACGTGAAAATTATACAATAGTTTAGCGATTATTTGTTAATCATAAAGCAATTTTAAAGAAATATCAACATATCAACATCCAATCAATTTTTAGGAGATAAAAGAGAGAATTAATATGCAGGAATACCGCAATGCGGAATGGCTTGCAAAGTTAAGTTGTATCAAGGCAATAGCTAACTCCTAATGTATCCCAAGGACTAAGAATAATCACTCAAAGAGATTAGAAAGAACAGAATAAATGAAGACCCAATTCTTAAATCTGACCACATTCCTTAACAGGGACCTTCAATAATTTATGATGTATAAGTCGTTTACACAAAAGAAAAAAAACCCCCATAAGCCACTATGAGCACCTATAGTGTCACATCTTTTATCATCAATCTCAACGCCTTAGAACATCAAACTTGGAACAAGACTTAGTTGTTCACACAATTGAGCCCTACTTTCAATCCAGAAATCTATGAGTGCAATGCAATATTATACTGGAACATAGACCAAAAGGATTCCACCTTAATGAACACGAGCAACATCAACAGAATTCTGTCCAGTGCCTACAGGCTGAGCAGGTTGTGATGAACTCGATGTTGATGGAACTGAGCTGGGCACCTGCAAAGGGAACAAAAACACCATGTCTTATCATTATGTCCCAATGAAGGCATAATTGAATGCCCAAAAAATCCAGAGGAGGAAAGCCTCATATAGAACCAGTAGTAGATGTTGGCAACAAGAAGAACAAGGATTTACCTCAGCTGCTTCAACTTGCAGAAGGTGTACAACACCAAAACCATTAACTGGAGCAGCCGACAAAAATGGGTATTACGGTCCTCCTATATGAGGTAGTATGTCAGGCTTCAGCAGATTGGACTTCAGCGGAGCAGCAGCAAATACGGCATCCATTTCTAAGGGTGATAAGTTCTCCATTCCCTCAGGATGTGTTTGCGTATGACCAGCAGAAACATCTCCTTCGACAGCTGGGCCTGCAGGTTGATCACTGGCCAGAAACATCGTACAAACTAAATGAGAATGTAAGTTAAAAAAGATGTACAAAAGCAGGGGAAAAATAAGTGATCTGCAAGAAGCCTTTCGTATCTACTGCGATAAAAATATTAGAGTATAAAATCTGCATAATCATGTTTTCCAATCAAACTATAGTCTGGGGTCAAATATTATGCAAATCTTCTTCCGCAATACAAGAGCAGACAACAAGATGCAAAAGCCTCAAAGAGTATTTTCATTTACCATAAAGGTGGCTCCCCAGCAGCATCCTGGCCAATCAGCACAATGGGAGCCACACGCGTAGAGTCCTTGTTCATATTTTTGCTTGGTACTAAAGCACCATCCAAGCTACCGAAAGTCAATCCAATTCTTAATTCTTCAGGAACCTGAATATGATCTGGAAAAATAACTTGCTGATGGGAGGACAATTTCAGTCCCTCTAACTTCATATCGAGTTGTGATATTTCTTTCTCCAAAACAGGGTCACTGAGTTGGAATGGGACTGTATACTGGCTCCTTGTGCCTCATTTCCAACTTGAGCAACACTGGTGCAAAATTAGGAAAAGGGGAATAAAAAAGTCTTCAAATGTAGTGGATCTATCTTAGTTCGATATTCACAAAAACTAAGCAACATAACATACATGGCAAACCCAGAAATAAAATGTTATAGGGAAGCATGTAAACTGGGGACTAACACAGATACATCCCATAGCTTTAATGATTAATAGTCATTTTAATAGATATTCAGACTTGTAAAATATCTATCATGTTGCCCTGCCAAAATTTGTTTCTCCATTTTTCTCCCATTCCAATTGGCAAGATGGCTGATGGTATATGATATTTTCCAGCATCCAGAAGGAGAGTTAAACTTAATTATACCTTACAAAGTAGTTCACGAGTTATCTAACTATTTATTATGACAAACAGACCACACACCTAGAAAACACAAGCAGAAAAAGCAACAAAATATCTCATTTCAAAGATTAAAAAAAAAAAAAAGCTTAACAAAGATGAATCCTAATCCTTCTGTACGAGAGCTCCCAATCAGAAACAAACAGAAAAATTAGCCAGATAATATCCAATTAAATCCATCGTAATATAGGTATCCCAGTAGCAAATCGTACATATAAGGAGGATACCCATTCACAGACTATAAAGACCATGAGGAAAAGGAAGAAAACAACGAACAAAAAGAAAAGAAGAAGACCGAATACCCAAAATCGAAACTTTGAAACCTCGGACTGGTTGCCGGAAGGAAACGGAGCAAGAAGCCTACGATGACGGGCAAGGAAATTCCACCGTTCGTTTTTTATATTCACTTCTGGGAAAATTAAAATTTAAAAAAAAAAAAAAAAAAAGGGAGAACCCAATCAAAACGAAGTCGTTCTGAAGTCAGGGGTTTTTTTAAATAGCTGAATAAAAATGGCGTCGTTTTTGGATTCGGGAGTTTTTAAAAAAATGCCCAAAACGAAGTCGTTTTGAAGTGGGGGTTTTTAAAATGTTAAGGGGCGAACTGTTAAACGCCCTTATTTTTTCATTTGAGCGCCCGCGAAAAACCAACACGCCCCTAAAAATGGAGGTTAGTTTTTTTTTTTCCAGAAAAAGGGGGGGTGGCGAGGGAGAAACGCGCCAGCCATTAACACGCCATCCCCAAAGGGTTTATGCTAGATATTTACAGGGGAGGCGAGGCAAGCCTTAGCCAATGGCGAAGGCGGTGGCTCTCTCATGGTTGGCGTGCAAATGCTCGCCAACCACCGTGTTGGTGGCGCCCAAACGGGCGCCAGCCAATTTTTTTTTTTTTAAATTTTTTAATATATTTAATATTTATTAGTTTAAAAATTATTATTATTAGTTTAACAAATTTAATTAATTCATGTATTTATTTTATTTGAGTATTTGTTTTGTAGTTTAATATATGTTTAGAAAATTAGGGTTTATGCTAGATATTTAGAGATTGTTTTTTAATTACGTATACTGTTATATGTTAATTACGTAGTATGCTCGTAAGAAATACTTTGTTTCTTGTTAAATGGGTATTTAGGTTGTATGTTAATGCATATAGTTGTTAGGGATTATGATATTTGTTAAAATAATGAGTTTTTATTAATAATATTTTTAGTTAGTTATTAGTATATATTAATTATCTTTAAAGTAAAAGATCATTATATCAGATTTTATAACAATGTTTACTCATATCAAATTAATTGTGGTTTAACAATGTTAGAGTTAACTTAAGTTATGATATAATTTGTTTTTAATGTGTGTGTGCAGAATAGTTTTGATCAGGGGGATGGAATCCATTATAGTGCGGCTTTTGCTACAGACGAGACTTTCACAACGAACACGGAAGCTATTGAATATGCGAAGGGTATTGCGAACATCTACAATATGGTGTTAAGTATATCCTCGCATAAGGATAATAGTACTATACTCCTTTGTAATAAAGGGGGGCGGTACCAAGATGAACAGGTGGATGAAAACGTACGGGCCCGAGCCAATACAAAGACACAGATGACCGGATGCCAGTTTTGTGTTACTACTTACAAGATGTATGATAGGTGGGCAATCTGTGTATATCCAGGTCCGTGGGGAATGCACAACCATTCATTGAAAGATCCACCTCGAGTCAGGAGGCCATTGAGTACTGAAGTAAAAGAGCTTATTAAAGAGTACTCCAAAGCTGGGACTAAGGCAGTCCACATTTTACGGGCGATATGGACACAATTTCCCGATGAAAAGGTAACCGCTAAACAAGTCTACAACTACGAAATTTTTGCGTAAGGCGGGGTTTCCAATTCTAGATGACCTGGCTGCCATGGACGTAGTGGGAAAGGTGTTAGAGGTCGCAGAACAGCACAAATACATCATCTTCACGGAGTGCGATGAAGAGACACAGAGGTTATCCCACGTCTTTTTCGCACATCCGGATTCTTTGTTGTTATTGCGGACGTATCCTTGGGTTGTTTGTGTAGATTCCACATACAACACAAACAAATATAAACTGCCTCTTGTGGAGTTTGTTGGAATGACCCCTTGCAATCAGACATTCCTCATAGCATATGCCATTCTGAGTGATGAGACAGGGGACAGCTACCATTGGGCGCTGTGGTAGCTCCGTAACTTGTATGGCAAAGATATGCATCCGAGTGTCATCGTGGTGATCGGGAGCACTGGATGATGAGGCCTCTTGATGATGTATTTCCATCTTCACATCACTTATTGTGTACGTGGCATGTTTACGGGGATGTCGAAAGAAATGTGAAAAGAATTTTGAATGGAAATGCTCATACAAGTAAAAGTTTCGCGTATAATGCCTTCAAAGCGGTGATCGAAGCTGAAACCGGGGACGTATACGAAGAAAGAGTGCGGTTCGGAGCATAATTGGATCCAATTTCAGGCCGTTCTACGGTATGTTAGGAACACATGGTTAGTGGTGGCGCACAAGTTTGTGCGTGCATGGACCAACACTTATTTGCATTTTGGCAACACCACTACCTGTAGAGTGGAGAGCGCACACAAGTTGTTAAAGGAATGGCTCGTCATTCCAAATGCTTCTTTTGAAACGGTGTGGCACAGGGTTCACATGTTACTGGAGACACAGCTTACGCAAATAAGGTACAGACCTGTTGATCCCTTTTTAGTTAATTTGTGTGTTTAGGTTGTTTAATTAATTTTTTTCAATTCCTGTAGAGGGAGAAATTGCAAGAATCAAGGCAGAAAATAGGGAGGCAACACAACAAGTACCCTTTCTACCAATTAAGATGCAATGTTTCACACTACTGCTTGGATCTATTGAAAAATGAATTAGAAAGGATGCAACAACTCGGAGATGATGTATATTGGGAATGCAATCATTACCTGAAACAAACTCATTCCCTCCCTTGTGCATGTATACTTAAGCGTGTAATGGAGGCCAGCGATATTTTAACTCCAAAATACTTACATCAATTTTGGAGCACACTTGACATCAGTGAGGTTACAGAGAAGGATGGTTCGGATGATGTTCCCCCTCACAGATTGTTGTTCAGCCAGTTAGTGGAAGAATTGAACGCTGCTGATGAGCCAATACAGCGCGAGATCACCAGATTGATGTACAACAAACTCCACCCGGGCCAAGCAGGATTAAATGAACCGCGGGTTGGAAAGAGAGGCAAGGGCAGACCGAAGAAGAGGGGCATCTCTAAAAAAAGGCAAGACAAACCGAATGTGTGGGCATACAGGGACGGCAATCAGGGTGGCACGAATACCGGCGGTTCCAGGTAAATCGGGACGAACACCCACGGTTCCGAGAGAGGCATACGTCGGGAGTGAAGATCGAACAGAGGTCCGATATTACTTTCTCTTTTTAAATGTGTGATAAATTATTTTACTTTGTTACTTACCCATGCTACAACAGGTCCATGAACTGGGCAAGGTGAGACGAACATCGCTAGTTCAAGTAGAGGCAACAGTCGGGTTCGAACCACATGTCGGAGGTAAGTTTATAATTTATATTTTTCTTAATTACTAATATATAATTCAGAAATAATGATATTATTTTACGTGGTTAAAGATGTTATGCAGACAGATTTTTTCCAGTTTAGCCACAAGAATAAGATTCCGCAAGTACTCCACAATCAGGTTCAGTCATATCTTGATGTCGAACCTGACGGTAATTGTGGTTTTTGTGTCTTTGCGAGTTGTATGTTGGGCGGGCAGAATAATCACATTTTGTGCAGACAGCTATGTTATGATGAGGTTATAAATAACCCTGGCCTATATGGGAACATTTACGGGTATGCAACCAGTTTAATGTTGGTGAGCAATTGTCTTACTGTTATTAGGTTAAAAAACTTTCATACCCGTGTCTTTGTGTAGGTGGGACAGATGGGCTGAGAGCCTAGAGCGTATACGGTGGACAGGCACCGCATTAGGTCACTGGATGTCGACAGATGACTTTTATCCCCTTGCTACATATTTCAATGCGGTTGTGTACTACTTCAGTACCCGCGGTGCTGGAATCTAAACGGCACATGTTGGACTGTGCTACCACTGAGCGCACGAGGCGGGGCAACAAGACCTGAGTTCCAGATAGTTATTTGCCACCTTCATCCTTACCAACACTTCATTCGACTCAATCTGCAGGGTGATTTCCCGATTCCCCCCATTCACCTCAGTTGGAGGCATGATCGTGATAGTAGTGTTATTGGTTGGGATGAACCTTTTGAGTCCAGACTACAGCTATGGCGAACTTTGGTACCTCGGATAAGACCCACACGGGAATTTGAAGATCTGGGGTGATCATTTGTGTGTGTATATATATATATATATATATTTTGGAAATTGGAGCACAGATGGTGACGTAAATTAAAATTGAAATTGCAAACAAACATAAGGGCATATTGTTCATAAGTACAGAATCATTGCATAATTGTACAGAATCATCATAAGTAGAATGTCATGGGGCCTG